TTTTTGATAATTTTTTTGAAATTGCTGCACCTATACTAGTAACCATGTTTTATGTAAGTCTAGAAAACAGGTCAATGGGTCAACAATAACTATAATTATATTATGTACCTAAGGTAACAAATATGTTAACATTTTTAATTTCAATTTAATTAATTTAGTTATTATTAATTAGTGTTTATTAAGATTCTTACTTAACAATGAAGAATATCCTATTATGATATTATTCTTTTATATTCTGCAAACATCTTTTGACTCAAAAAATCCACTCGAAGTTTTATGTATAGATGTAAAATCATAGTCTTAATTGTTTTTAATTAGTTGAGTTTATATAAATTATAATTATTTTATTAACGGTATGATAAATTTAGCGTAAAGCACCCATTATTTCAGAAAACACTAACGTTTTTAAAAATATTTGTTTACATAATTTTAAGTTAAAATAAAAAAAAATATTTAAGAAAAAAGTATAGTATATTATCTAACAATAAAGAGTAGTAAAAATATATATTTTTTAATGACATAAAGTTATGTGAAAATATTTTTAAAACGTAAATTATTTTTTAAATATAGAGTCTGAATTGAATATTCGATAAATTACAGGATTATATATTTTCGTTATAATGAATATCTACAATTGTTCATTTTAAGATAAAAATACTAAACCAATAATAGATGGAAAAAGTTTATCGCCCTGATCAATATCAAAAGACGTATTAGGAATTGAGTTTTAACAACCCATAAACTTTTGATCACTATTTCATTATCCCCCCTCCCTACATCCATAAAAAATTGTATCTAGTATCTATATTAATAGATTAAAATGTTAATAACATGTAAACACTTGACATTTAATATATAATACACATAGGATTTCTTAGCTATAAAATAATTGTTTAATTTATAAATTCTCAGAAACAACACTACAAGGAAGTATTACTTTATTTTAAACTAATTTTATCAGTGGTCCTCAAATGGTTTGGGATAAGAAAATTTATGGTTATTAACGATATTTAATGATATTTTCTTAAACCAATATTATAATACTTAGTTTAAACACAATCATTGATGGTTGGTATTACGTTTACAAAATGCAATATATTAATGAATGATTAACAAATTTCACACATTTAAATAATGATGAATTATACCTACAAAAGTATTAAATATTTTCAATTTATAAAAATTAAACAGCTGACAGACGAGTTAATAGCTCTATTTTTTTTTCGATTTAACGGTGTATGTAAAAAATATGATTGAGAGAGACATATTTGCAAACCGTTATCTCTATTCACACTTCGACTTGGCGATACCGAGCCATTTTAACTGTCTATAATTGGCTCAATTTATGGTCTATAAACTAGACTAAAATTAAATCATACTGTATAATTTTATGTCTATACCTATGTCAGTTTTAGGGCTCATTTTAATTTTATTATGTTGGTAAACAGAATTTTGTACTATTTATTGTTTAAATTACATACCGCGGACACTTAATACGGTGAAAATAAATTTGTTAAAAATCGATCGGGGACATTTTGTACAGTATAAATAAATTGGAAAATACATTTTACAAGATAAAAATGATAAGATACAATTAAATTGTTCAAATCTTTAAATCGCAAATCGCAATCGTAATTACTAATCAGTATGAGACATGCATTAGATCAAGACCCTCCACTCCCGACATTTCTTAAATAGTTAAAAAAAAATATAAAATAATTATTTATTTTTAATAGGTACCAATATAAATAGCTAAAATTACAAATTATCAAATTGATTATTGACTGTTTAGTATATCATATCATTCATATCATATAAAAATATTATTTTAGTATCTAATAAATAATAATACATTTTTATTGATCGACAACGATTGCTTTATCAATGTCGGTCAACGTTTCATCTCGTCAGTCGACGATGGTTAATAATAACAATATTATATGTATGTAAATTAAAAATATTATTATGATAGATCATGTACCCGAATACCCGATGTACCGTCGTCCACCAGACAGTGACAAACACGTCGAATTGTTTTATTAAATTCGTCATAACGAGTAAACGAGATAACAAAAATGTACTATTACTGTTTCTTGTAACCACCAAAGATTTGAAGGATTCGTTATATTATTTCATATATTATTTATATTATTAAATTAATAATTTAACATTGTTTTAATTAATATACTCTATTTTTAACCAAATCTTAAAACCTAAATTCAATAAATGTACAATAATATAAATTATACAGTTTTGGACCCCCCTGAAAAAAATTCTGGATACGGCAATACTTTGCACTAATTTTAAAAGTCGAGCTATTAATAGTAGAAAAGCTGTTTATTACCTGTATTTTGTAATAAGTAATAACGAATTATGTGATATGTATACATATTTTTCTACCTGAAATAGTACAAATTATTCGCTATATTGACTGTTGTAGGTTGAAGCCACCTATAGTCCTAAAATAGTACAAACTTTCTGCGGTTTGAATTTTTTCTAAGTGGCCGTACAAACTATTAGGTGTCCTAAAACCCATCAAACATCAAATTGACTTTTGTATAAATATATAAGTACTAAAGTAGCTATATATTTTGATTTAATTAGTATCAATTTTAATAATTCAGTTGTTGTCTAATGTCTATAGAGATATAAACTACAACTGAAAGAAGGGTTAGGAGTTGATTTTAGGGGAACATACCAAAATCATTTTAACTTATAATTTTAACAATTTACTAACAAATTTACTCTTATTATAAAATAATGTACAAGTTTCTTTTTTTAATGGAATTAGGTAAAAATACAACTAAAACTTCTACACTTTTCAAAGATTATTTTTTCGTTCACAACTTTGAAACTTTTTTAATAGGTAGTTGAAAGTTGAAACTAAGTATTCCAATTACAAATGCTTATTAGGTTTAATTTAATTAATAGTTAGATACCTTATTTATACTAATATTAATATTGACTATAAATATGTATTTCAACTTTCAAATCTAAAAAAAAAATGTATTTGTTGTTTGTGACATTAATATACATTATAATAATATAGTAATACCTATGATATTTAAGTAGCAATAATGATCATTAGCAATTTTATGAATAAGCTGGTTATAACAGTAATAATAAATTGAGTAAATTTTCACAGGATAAATTGGATTTAATTAATATTAACTTACTTTTACCTATTATGAAACTAATAAACGACTCGATTTAAATATTTAATATATAATAATTAGAATAAAGGTCGGATTTGGACTTTTGGAGACGAAAGTAG